CTCCCCCTCCCTTCCCTTCCCCTCCTCCACCGGCACCGGGAATACGCATGCGCGGTGAGGCAAGCCTACGGGCGGCCCTCAAGCCCCGGGCCCACCCGTTGGGGCGCCACTCACCGGGAGCGCGCACGCGTCGGCGGCCAGATTTCCTCCGCGCTCTCGCTCTCGGGGGTTTCCTCCTTTAAACCGGTGGCCGCCGGCAGCGTCTGTGATTGCGCTCCCTCCCGGCGCATGCGTCGTCAGTGACCTCGCGCGCTCCGACGGCCAGCGCTTCGCTTTCGCCCCTCCCCTCACTCTCCCTTTCCCCCGAGTGTCTCCCGCGCATGCGACTTGCCCCGTTAGGTGTCGTGGAGACGCGGAGGGGATCCCGGGCAGCGGCGGAGACTCCCCCTCCCTTGGGCCGCGTGCGTGCGCCGTCCGCGTCCGCCGCCGGGGACGGAGGAAAACCGGGATCTTCCTGGCGCCCTCTTCCCCGCACCAGTTACTGGAAAGCCGGGGAGAGGCGGGGCCTGGTCCGTGGAGGGTGCGGCCGGTCGCGGAGCGTCAGCGCTAGGTCCAGGCGGCTTTGGCGCTCACCCTGGATGCTGGGAGCCAAAGACGGGAGAAAGGGCTTCCTGCCGGACGGAAGGTCCCGACGCTAAAAAGGGGACCCTCTCTCACTTAAAAAAGAAATCACTTTGCAAAAATCATTTTGTTAGGGAAGATTTTTTCCCCGCTTCCAATGGCCTCACTCGGGTTTCCTCTCCTGGGGCTGGAAGAGGGGTTTGCGAGGTGACTGGACTTCTAGAGACTCGGCCTTCACTCCTCCCCTGGGGAGCACAGCCTGGGTCGCTTCTTAACTGGTGCGTGGGCCTGGGAGACAGGACCGGCGCCCGTGGCTGGAGGAGGCAAAAGGAGGTCAGGATGTGTTCACTTGGAGTCTTTCACCTGGCCTTTAACCCTAACTCTGACCCTTCCTTTGCCTCTGTAACTTGTTTCCTGATCCCAGCCAGGCAGCCCAGCTGGCTCACTTCTTCTACCTTTGTGACTTTCTAGGTAAAACTTTAGTTTGTAGTTGAGCCTTGGCTCAATTCTCTTTCAGCCAGAACTCAAGTCTGGAACTGAGGTGCGGTTTCCGCTGCAGGGAAACCAGGTGTTAGCATAAGGAAAGATGAGGGCTGCAGTAGTGGAGGTACACCAGAACCCTAACTTCAAGGCTTTCCTTGTTAGAAAAAAGGGTGACTACTGCTGCTTATCTTACAGGGACATTACTCTCCTTGTTCTTAAAACACACGTGGTCCACATGGAAAAAGCACAGTTCAGTAGTTGTAAATTATGGGAGAAGAGGCCTTTACAGTCTCAGTTCCTAGTAGTTTTCATGTTTTAATGAATGTCTTTTCAACTTGATATAGAAACCATCTTATTTCAAAAAATAACGTTTAGCTATAAAGTTCTCCCTTCAGGTAACATTCATCTCAGTAAACATTTCAGATTCTTGCTCAAATTGTATGCACAGAGAGGAAAAAAACAAACATAAAAATTGAACTTACTCAGATCCTGATCTTTCAGCTGAGTGTCTTTCAGTGGAGAGTGGGAAAGCATGCTTTATGTACACAGAAGGGATTTTAGTGTGACCATGGGAAATGAGCAGTAGCAGAAGAATGGCAGATCATTTCTTTTGGAGAACTATCCTTTCTCACTCTGTCTCTAGGGCTGGGGTGCGCCTCTAGGGGGGAAGCATATTCAAGTTAATCCTTTGCCTTAGGCTGGAGGTACCAAGAAGGGCTCTCTCTTTTCTAATGGATTTAAGACCATTGGAAAAATGGAGGCGGGAAGCCATCTTTCCACTCAAACTCAGAGAAAGAAGGAAGGGGGGCCGGGGAGCAGATTCAGAGATTCTAGCCTGAAGACATGTTTGATGCCCTGCCTGAAACCAATATAGACTAGATAACTCTGGAAATTAAATTACTCAATAAATTAATGTGCTTGTTTTATTTATTAAATTAGAGGTTTTCTGCCACTGGTGATCATGAAGGGCAGATACAGGTAGCAAGAGAGAATGCAAGGTTCATTATACTGATAAAGTAGGTTGCATCCTAGCTTATAAGAGGGTTTGAATGCATTTCCTAGGATGTGGATGTTTAGATTTTATTCCAGAGAAAGTGATCCCTCATGTTCTGCATCATCTAGAGCACATATCTTCAAAAATACCTTTGCCCTTTTTAATGGTTCCATTGTCCTCTTAGTCACCAGGATCAAATCATGTTCATCTTTGACTCTTTCCTCTCTCACTTTCTATATTTAATCATTTACTCAGACCTGTTGATAATCCTCTTTTTTCTGCCATTCTTGTGCTACTGCTCATTTCCCATGGTTCAGTTCACAACATACCCTTTCTCCCCATATATTCTCCAAAAATAAAACTGGGTAATATTTGTAGTAACTTTTCATACTTCCAGATTCCACTTTTCTCTAAAATGAAAGTCCTTCCTCATAGTTTCATAGATCCTAAATTAGTCCCACTGACTAAATCCTTTCCTTAAACACAGTTTATGTAATTAAAATACTGTTCACTCCTTCTTGTTTGCCTTCTTATTTAAACTGCATTTCAAACTCCCTTCCCAACTGATTCCCCCAGTTGATGTCTTGATAGAGGCAATATAGCACAGTGCTTAAGAGTACAGGACCGAGCCCTGGCCGGTGTGGCACAGTGATAAGAGCATCGGCCCACAAACTGAAGGGTTGCACATTCAATTCCCGGTCAAGGGCACATACCTGGGTTGCAGGTTGGATCCCTGGCCTTGTCTGGGCGTGTTCAGGAGGCAACCAGTCAGTGTAAGAGAGACACACTGATGTTTCCCTCCCTCCCTTCCACTCTCTCTCAAAAGAAAAAAAAATCAATGAAAAAATATCCTTGGGCAAGGATTAATAAAACAAAACAAAGAAAGTGTACAGAATTGGGAACTAAACTGCCAGGATTTAAATCCCAGTCCCCAGGGGCTGAAGCTGAGGTGTGATGAGTGGGACTGGAGATGAGGATTTATTGGATCCAAGGTGGCAGCAGATTAGGTGGAAAGAAACTACATAATGAAAAAGGGAGCAATACAAGAGACTATAACCCTTGTAAACATTTGTGCACCCAACATAGGAGCACCTAAATATGTAAAGCAAGTCTTGATGGACATAAAGGGAGAGCTTGACAGTAATGCAGTTATAGTAGGGGATTTTAATACCTCATTGACATGATCTTACAGACAGAAAATCAACAAGGAGATGACAGCCTTAAATGACACACTAGATGAAATGGATTTAATTGATATATTTAGAGAATTTCACCCAAAGCAGCAGAAAGACATTCTTTTCAAGTGCCATGGAACATTTCCTAGGATAGTCTATGCTAGGACACAAACCAAGTCTCAATAAATTTAAGACTGAAATCCTATCAAACATCTTCTCTGACGATAATGCTATGAAACTTGAAATCAATCACAAGAAGAAAATGAAAAACACAGAAAAACATCAAAGCTAAATAACATGTCACAAAACAATGAATGGATTAACAATGAGATCAAGGAAGACATCAAAAGATACCTTGAAACAAATGAAAATAAGAACACAACAACCCAAAATCTATGAGACACACGGAAAGCAGTCCTAAGAAGGAAATTCATGTCATTAGAGGCCTATCTCAAGAAATAAGAAAAGGCTCAAATAATCTAATTTAGACTTAAAGAAACTAGAAAAAAGAACAATTAATGAAGCCCAGAGTGAGTAGGAGGAAGGAAATAATAAAGATCAGAGCAGAAATAAAATAAAAGTAAAAAAAAAAAAAATACTAAAGATCAATGAAACCAAGTGCTGGTTCTTTGAAAAGATAAACAAGATTGACAAACCTACAACCAGACTCATCAAGGAAAAAAAAGAGAGGACCCAAGTAAATAAAATCAGAAATGAAAGAACTAATAACTGACACCAAAGACATACAAAGTATTGTAAGAAAATATTACCAACAACAATATGACAACAAATTGGACAATCTGGACAAAATGAATAAATTCCTAGAAACATACCATCTATCAAAACTAAATCAGGAAGAATCAGGAACCTAAGAGAGAGATTACAACTAGTAAATTGAAGCAATAATAATAATAAAAAATCCCAACAAACAAAAGCCCGGACTAGATGGCTTTACAGGTGAATTTTACCAAACATTCTCAAACTATTCCAAAAAATTCAAGAGGAGGGAAGGGTTCCCAAGCTCATTTATGAGGCCAACGTTATCCTAATTCCAAAACCAGATAAAGACAAGACAGAAAGAAAATTATAGGCCAATATCCCTGATGCACATAGATGCTAAAATTATCAACAAAATATTAGCAAACTGAATCCAGCAATACATTGAAAAATATCATACACCATGATCAAGTAGGATTTGTTCTGGGGATGCAAGGTTGGTACAATATCTGAAAAACACTAAATGTGCTACCCCACATAAACAAACTAAATGAAAAAAACACATGATCATATCAATAGATGCAGAAAAAGCATTTGATTAAAAGCCAGCGCCCATTTATGGTCAAAACTCTCAGCAAAGTGGGAATAGGGGGAACGTACCTCAATGTAATAAAGGCCATTTATGACAAACCCAAAGCCAACATCATACTCAATGGGCAAAAACTACAAGCATTCCCCTTAAAATCATGAACAAGACAGGGATGTCTGCTTTCAACACTTTTATTCAACATAGTACTGGAACTCCTAGCCACAGCAATCAGATAAGAAGAAATAAAAGGCATCCAAATTGGAAAGAAAAAAGTAAAACTGCCATTATTTGCAGATGACATGATACTGTATATAGATGCCACCAAAACTACTAGAGCTGATAAATTCAGTAAAGTAGCTAGACATAAAATAAACATTCAAAAGTCAGTTGCATTTTTATACACCAATCATGAACTATCAGAAAGGTAAACTAAAAAAAAAAAAAAAAATCCCATTCACAATTGTTTCAAAAGGAATAAAATACCTACGAATACATTTAACCAAAGATGTAAAAGACCTGTACTTGGAAAATTATATGACACTGAAGAAAGATATTAAAGAATATACAAATAAGTGGAAACATACACCATGTTCATGGATAGGAACAATTACCCTCATTAAAATGTCCATACTACCCAAAGCAATCTACACATTCAACGTAATTCCT